AAAGTAATTGATTTAAGAATTGCCCAAATAGAATTGATGTACTTTATCGTTACTTACTCGGAAGTTTTACATTCCGAAACTCTGCAGAACAAAAGTAAGGGTTTCATGCAAAGAAGTTTGCGACCAGAAATGAATCCACTTTAGATAGATTTGAACTAGACTTTTATGTAGCCTGACTCCATTTCCTTATGCTTCAAAAAACATAAATTGAAATAGTATACGTATCATTTTCATAGATAAACACAAGGACAAAGAAAGGAACTATTTGTTTATTGAAATGTGACGTCAAACGATGCTCAATCATGGCCGTTAGCGTTTTGCGCATTATATTCTTTACACAAAAAAATCTCGGATTACTTTTCAAAAATCGATTCTCTCTTCCCTTTCCATTACGGTCTCCAAACACTGCTTTATCTCTTCCGCCAAACAGTGGCTAATCCTGGGGTTCTTCAAGACATCGAGGGAGGACATAGAGTCACTCAGTACTCTTACTCTAGTCGCTATCTAGAACCATTTTAACAGCTCTGTTCAATGCGTTTAGTTCATATTGGCAAACCGTGCAAGAAGGCTCCAGACTAAAAATGGAATTAAAGTTTATTTTGGTGTTAGTGCATTTATCGAGGAAGATTAAGTGTGTGTGTGTGTGTGATAGGGAGACAGAAAGAATGTGTGCAACCTATTTTATAGATTTTCTATGAAAATTGAGTATATTAGTTTTTATATAATAAAAACGGTGGCCTAGACCTGGGGTTCACAGGCTCTTAGGTTAATGCTTTTGGATGCAGAAGCCTGACGCAGTCACTTCATACAGTTTAGTTTGTCATCCATCACTTGATATCTTTTTAATCTCTTTATTAGTAAAAAGGCCGTCATCTTTGAACGATTATGCCAGCATAACTGTCATTTGATCTAAGTTTAAGGAATTATTTTGTGAAAATTGCAATATAGTATTAAATAAATGTGTATAATGTTATTGTACTATTTCCAAAAAATATTATTTTAACCCTAAATTTTGAAATAATGTTGCAACCTTGGTTGGAACTCTGTGGCCACTGAAAATATTAGTTTTGACAACAAAAAAAAAGGTTTGACAACATTTAATTTCAGGTTCGAAAACTAGATGTAGCTGACGGTCCGATTTTTAAAGCTGTCAATGGCTGTAAGTGTGACGGCCCTGGGCGATACGGGTTACGAAAAACAGCCACGGTCGATGTAACGCTGATTTTTATAACGTGTTTGAAATAAAAGTTTCAATTAATAGTGTTCGATTATTTTGCCATACAATCCCACATATATATGAATGTATGTGTATAGATTTGTTAGTGTAATTGTGTTAGTAGATAGGAGAAGGAAGATCACAATACTCTTCTATCTAAGCACATTTTTTAAAGGTGGAAATATCATCTAACGACTTCTCCCGCCTAAGGTGAGGCGAGAGGAAGTGTCCACTGTAGGGTCTTGCTGTCTACCTCTATAAAGTACCACACTCCTACTTCTGCTTTTCGAACCGGAGCTTCACTACCCGTTAAGACTTTCGCAGCTCTGTATCGAGCATCAACGCCACTGGGCCTCATCTGTGGTGGTCTAGTGGTTCTTTGAGGGCCACGCAGAACGCTAAGTGCCATACGATCCGGTCTGGTCCTGGTCCGGAAGGGAATTACCTCGCCGCCTCCCAACACACTAGGTGTAAAAAGAAAGCAGAAATTGCGTTCCTTCTACTCTCCCTATATAGGCCAGGGGACGGCGCACTTGGAGAAGTTGCTACCACTCCACTACTTACTAAGTACCGCTCTAGCGACCATACTCTTCAGGAATTTGAAAAAAAGATTCCAACGTTATTTTTCGCAGATATCGACGAGTGTCGCGATGGTACCCACACTTGTGAATTTTGGTTTGCAAATTGTGATCCTTTCCGCAGGTTCGTTCTGCGACATGGCAATAGTACTTTCACCTCCAGGTCCCAGGATGGGATTCTTCAGATAACCCCATACGAGAACCATACTTTGCAGTATTCGCAGATCGGCTATATTGTTAACCGATCTATTAAGCCATATATTATTCTTCGCAGATATCAATGAGTGTCGCGATGGTACCCACACTTGTGATCAGCTCCAGGACTGTGTCAATACACGCGGTGGACATGAATGCCGGTGTAAGCATGGCTTCGAACTCGACTCCTCGTCTGGGTCTTGTGTCGGTTAGTATTCATAGTATTTCAATAACAGTCCGTACTTTAACGCCCACTACCATTCCTGAAGAATTTCCCTTTTTATTATTGCGAGGGGAAACTCACAAAATAATTCCTCACTCTCTGGCTGAGGCGAGAAAGAATGTCAGACTCTTACCGACTAAAAACCTCCCCGTTTCGACTCGTGCTTCGAACTGGAGCTCTGGTAAACCATGCAGTTCTCCACAACCTTGGTACTAAAGAACCACCCACAGTCTTTAAGGATCTGAAATTATATTCGAAGGTTATTCTTTGCAGATATCGACGAGTGTCGCAATGGTACCCACACTTGTGATCAGCTCCAGGATTGCATCAATACACGCGGTGGACATGAATGTAACTGTAAAAATGGCTTTGAACTGGACTTCTTCTCTGGGTCTTGTGTAGGTTAGTACTAGTTGGTTACTTATTTGATTACTAAAACATTCCACTTTCGATTTAAAAAATATGAGGTGATTTATTCGAAATTAACTCGTCGAGTACCGGTTTTGTAGACACAATTACAGAACAATAGGTTGCGGTCACCGGTGACCGCTTGGTGTTTGACAGTTTAAGGCGGACCATGGCTCGGCTGATTCACATTCGGCTAAGGTTTCTATACTTCCTTAATGAATTTATATTTTTTTTTGTTGCACTAATAACTTGCCTTAAAGCTATTCATGTATCCGTATATTATTACGACGTCCCCTGTTACCAAAGATTGGAGATGACTAGTTGCTGACTGCTGTCTAGAATAAGATCGGCATGCAGAGTCGTGAGTGTCGGATGCAGTGATGTCTATCTCTGTAAGTATATGTAGATAGAGGAAGGAAGATCACAATACTCTTCTATCCGAGCACATTTTTTTGAGGTGGAAATATCATCCAACGACTTCTCCCGCCTCGCGTGAGGCGAGAGGAAGTGTCCACTGTAAGGTCTTGCTGTCTATAAACTACCACACTCCTACTTCTGCTTTTCGAACCGGAGCTCCGCAACCCGTTAAGCCTTTCGCAGCTCTGTATCGAGCATCAGCGCTACTAGGCGTCATCTGTGGTGGTCTGATGGCTCTTTGAGGCCTGCGCAGAACGCTAAGCGCCATATGCTCCGTTCTGGTTCTGGTCCGGCAGGGATTACCTCGCCACCTCCAAACACACTTGGTGTAAAAAGAAAGCAGAAATTGCGTTCCTTCTACTCTCCCTATATAGGCCAGGGGACGGCGGACTTGGAGAAGTTGCTACCACTCCACTACTTACTAAGTACCACTCTAGCGACCACACTCTTCAGGAATTTGAAAAAAAAATTCCAACTTTATTTTTCGCAGATATCGACGAGTGTCGCGATGGTACCCACACTTGTGATCTGCTTCAGGACTGCATCAATACACGCGGTGGACATAAATGTCGATGTAAGCATGGCTTCGAACTCGACTCCTCGTCTGGGTCTTGTATAGGTTAGTATTCATAGTATTTCAATAATAGCCTGTAATTTTGAACCTGTACCGAAGAACCATCCTTCATTTATTTTACCTAACAATTTATTAAAATACCGTTTTGTACAATTTCTAACTTTAGCAACCTTTTTTTACTTTTCAGTTCCCTCAAGTTCTACTCCTCGGCCTTCGGTACCGTCATACGAAAATGGCAACGAGTTCACTGTAGTCCATTACGGGAAAAAGGGACCTTATTCCACGCAACCTACTTACAACTGGAACCATTTTTCGTGTCCTACAGGATACATGCTTACACCCGACTTGCAATGTAATGGTAAGATATAAGATCGTTAGCGTATAAGTACCTAAGGTTTAGTGTAAGAATAGGGGGGACTGGGAAGACACTGAACTGACAAGGATGAAGCAAAGACAAAATCTTTAAAAATTTTAAAACTTATATTACCAAAAATTGCAAAATTAAACTGGCGTGGTTATATAGGTAGTTTATATAACAATGTTGTTGACTTTCAAAAGTGCCTTCCTGATCTAATTGAAATAAATGATTTTGACTTTGATTTGAACGGTTTTATTTATTGTTAATTGTTTTTTATTTCCACTTTCAGATATCGACGAGTGTGCGAGTTATACGTCAAGGTGTGGACTTAACCAGCGATGTGAGAACTTCCATGGAGGGCACACGTGTTGGTGCGAAAATGGATATAGACTGGTAGGATAGATTAGATGTAGGACATTATTAACTGGTCCATTTATAGGGAATGGGGAACCCAAGTCCCCCTCCGTCATCATCTGAATATAATTAATTGGGCCTCCACCTCATTCACATGGCGAAACATCCGAGTATCACTCCGATCAGACAAATTTTAATTCGTAACTACTTTTAATTATAATAAAACTGTTTCATTTTATAGCCCTGTGCTGCAGAACATTGCTTCAATAAATGTTTTGACGTGGACGAGTGCAGGGAGACCCCTGGTGTGTGCAGTCAGCACTGCTTTAATACTTTGGGCGGCTTCCAATGTTACTGCGAGAAAGGGTACCGGCTTGCTAATGATAACAGGTTAGTAACTAGTTTAGTAACTCCATCATCCCCTAACTCTATTATAGACTATATTTCCGATGTTTAGAGACTACTTTTGTATGAACAAATCTAGGGATGATATTTCAACAGGTTAACTAGTCACTTCAGTTACCTTCTCCTCTGTTCAGGACTTGTGTCGATGTGAACGAATGTATAGAGCATCCATCATTGAGCGTGAGCGGCAAGCTGTGTGCAGGCGAGTGTATCAATGAGCCTGGCAGCTACCGGTGCGGCTGTCCTGCAGGGTACCGCCTGTCACCAGACAAAAAGACTTGTGTCGGTGAGTCAAAACCGTATATTGACGAGCAAACAATTGACTTTTCTTATGAAATTAACCAATTGCCTGGATATTGGTTTAAAAGTAATTTTGACTCAACATTTCTTCACTATCGGCTACAACGTGCACTTCGCACTTGATACAACAACAAACACAGGCCTTTTTGGTAGACCAAAAAGGCCTGTGTTTGTCGTTACACACGTACAATAGATTGTAATGTATTTTCTTTTTATAAAAGGACAGGACAGGATTTAATTAAAAATTTATGGTCTTTGTACTATAACTTTCGTGAGACATACTAAATAAATTATTATGTTTTAGGCTTACTCACGTAATTATTTGACGACGAACGGTGACTGCCGCACTGCTACTCGTTGCTACTCGTAACAGCGCGACAGTCGCCGCGTCGCAGGTCGCGAAATGCTACTTATGAATATGAGCCTCCAGCATGGCTTGAAACTATACTCGGAATTTTAATTCGATTCCAGATTTGACAATTTCAGTGTTGCAACGTTATGACAAGTACTAAATAGTGACGTTGCGAAATTATTCGATATGGAAATGCAATATTTCTGGATCGATTCTTCTCGTTTATAATTTTACTCTCGTAAACTAAGTATATCAGGAAATTAAATATGTCTAAACGATAATTTAATATTGACGATTTATTAACGATCTGAGACTTTTCTTTTATAATTGTATGTGAAATAAATTAAAGAATGTAAGCATAAAGGAACATAACAAATAAAACAGATAGATGTATTATGGTAATAAGTTATTTTATAAATTGTCGCCGTCATCGCTATCGCTATCGCTGTCACTTTCTGTAACATTTATTATAAAACACACACACTGATTGTTTATCGATTTTTGTGTTCATCACTACACTATTATATGTGGTATCATTATTTCACAAAATGACAGTAGCCAATGTCAAATCTGGAATCGAATTAAAATTCTGACTATAGTCGAGTTCCTCGTCAAATAATTACGTGTGTAAGCTGAAAACATAATAATTTATTTATGGTCTTACAGATATAGACGAATGTGCGACGGGCGAGGCTCCGTGTGCATACAGTAGCGATGCTGGCTATGTGTGTAAGAACACACACGGTAGCTACTACTGTCATCATATCGACTGCCCGCCAGGGTACAGGCTGGATTCCATGAAGTGAGTACCACCACGAATCATATTCTTATAATCCCATATTAAAGAATTTAGGCCCTTTTTTTCTTTCTATCTTTAAATGCGCAACATATTTACATTTAGGTACCTACAACACGCGTATACACCCGCGCGATTTCACCGACTGGTGTTCGGCTAATCGGCTCCTACATCTCTCCAATCATGATTTTTTTTAGATTATCTTTAACCATTTCAATGTCATAAAATCTTAATCTACGATTGTGTTTTCAGGCGTTGTGTCAGGGAACAGACCTGTCAAGTTGGACACTTGGCATGTTTCCACCAGCCTGGCATGTACTGCTACAAGTTCTTCACCTTTGTCGCCAATGCCCACTTACCTTTCGGAAAGGTATTATACTTTACTTACTTTTTGATTGCACATTTGAGCAGTGATTCACAGAGCCATGTTATCCATAAGGTATACTAGAAAACTGGATAGGGTGCCAGGTTACAGAGGTTATAGAGGGGCATAGCGAGTAGAGCGTACTCTACTGCCCCGGCGGCGGCGCAAAAAAAATTTACGGACGCCGATCAGGTGCTTCCCTAGGGCGCTCTCTAGGTTTACTCCGCCTCTGAGTGGCTGGTTCGCCTACACTCACACAGATTGATTCCCACACAGAACTACTCTTTGTGTGATCTACAGATTGTTGTCCTGGTCTAGGACTTACTGGACTTATGACGTGTTTGTAACCGCACCCACGACACATGAGAAAATCTTAGTGAGGCTACGATTAAGTTAAAAATAAAAATTCGTCAAAGTTTTGTAATGTAACAGTATTTATTTTATTTATTAAATTTATTCATTCATAAATAAGTTTTATCCCCGAAGGGGTAGGCAGAGGTGCACATTACGGCACTTAATGCCACTATATAATGTAAAACCCACTTTTCACTATTTATGTTATGAGTCCCATGTAAATACTTAATTTTAACTAAGTAAAATAAACTAGTTGGAAGATCTATGATTATCTAATCACCTAAGTACCAACCTATCGTCTCCATTTTATTAATTTGATGATTTTTCAGGTGGATTTCTATAAAATGCCAAGCCCTTTCCAGTCTTGGGTTGTCTTGTTTTCGAAGGTGAACTACGAGCTGCGCCTGATATCGGTGCAGGCGTCTCCTGGTGTACAACCAGCTAACCTTCAATGCTTTAAGTGAGTATCTCTTGCATGTTATTCGATTCGAACTCTAGAAATTATAGTCATAAACAATATTAGAGAAAGGATTAGGTAAGCCCTTTACTTGAAAATATGAATGTCGTATCGGTTCAAAAGAATAGCCGGCGATTCATTTCAGAGCTTGCTACTGCTAGTGCGAAAAAAGTAAAAAAAAATATATATTATAGTATGGGTCGACAAACAAACGGTAACCAATCAAAACCGCATTGACAAGTGCGGCACCAGACTTAGTGCCTTTTCTCACGTTCCCGTTGCCGGGTAGCCAGGCGGCTCGTCGCGGAGAACCTAACGGGTAACCGGGGCTCCGGCTCGACGTGCAGGAGAAGGAACGGGGTGGTTTTTAGTCAGTAAGAGTCTGACACTCCCTTCCGCCTCACCCAGGCGGGAGCAGTCATTCGATGATTTTCGCCCCTTAAAAAAAAAAAAAAGCCAGGCGGCTCAGTGTTTAGATTTCACACATACGTACCGATGTAATTTGTACCGGGTACCCGGCACTAGCTACCCGGTAACTGGAACGTGTGAAAAGGCACTTACAAGTGCGTTGCTAGCATTGGAGGATTGAGCCACTGCTAACTTCACATGGCCAATACAACCCAAGCGTTTACTTAAACCGGTTTTCTGTAAAACCGTGGTATCACTCCGGCCGTGTGCTGAAGTATCATGTGGCTCTCCCATATAAAAAAAATATGAAGAAGGCAGTCAAGGACTGCCAGCTGTCAGCTGATATAGAATGCAATTACTTAAATGTTTTTTATTTAGCTGCTTCTGTTTGTTTGAGACTAATAAGTCATTAGAATTTTACCCCCTTCCTGACGATAAATCGATCTGGGTGCTTACTCTTGAATCCAATTCCGATCGATCGACATTGTTATTGTGAAATATCGTAGGTACTCTTGAGTTGCAACACTAGCGCCCATTGCATCCGTATTGCGTGGATATTGAATGAACTAAATGGTATTGAGTTTGGCTTTCCCGTACTCTAAATGATATATTAACAGCTACGATTGTGGTTGTATAGTTTTCACATTGAATAATTATTGAGGATTTATTGGATTGAAATTGCATTGACATTGAGATTGGTTTCAAGAGTAAACACCATGTATCATGTTTATTTTCCCACAATTACCTTCATTTTGGACTTGATTCGTATAATAGAGTTTATCAAAACCAGTTTAACATAAAACATATTTTAATGCATTATTTGTTTGAAACTGAATTTTATTTTTCTTACTCTCCAGCACGCGTGTACTATTCAATAGCTGCGTGGTGTCGCTCGAGTGTTCTCTGCCAGGTCCCCAGGTGGTAGAACTTGAGCTAACGAGGTCTATCATGAGAGGTTCCAGATACGCCGGCAGCACGGTCGTTCGACTCTTTGTAATTATCTCGCAATATGAATTCTAATGGTATTGCAATTAAATCTATTTTAAATCGCCATTAACTTTTTTCTTTCGACATGATCAATAAAAGCACCTACCGTCGCTTACATATACCACGGTAATATTATTACCATGCCTAAGCGTTTGTCGCGAATAGTTTTGAATATTAATTGATTTAATTATATTGATACTGATTTGATGACTTCCTCGTTGGCCGTGTGGTCGCAAGTGCGACTGCCGGGCCAGGAGCCTCGGGTTCGGTTCCCGGGTCGGGCAAAGTATTACTGGGTTTTTAATAATTCTCAGTAGTAGCACGGAGTCTGGAATTGTGCCCGGTATATGGTTATAGGCTCACCCCCTATTACATGGGACTGGTAACATAAATAGTGAAAAGTAAGGCATAAAGGGGTGATGTTATGTTATGTGATACTGATTTGATAAGTGCAATTCTTGAATATTGTTTAAAAACTTATTATGTTATGTAAGCAATGTCTTTAAAAACGAAATAAAACGATGAAACAAATTGGAATATATCTTTTTAATTTTATTAAGCACAAGCGGACACCATGAAGGAATGGTGTTTCAGTTATATACATATAACTATATAATAGTACAGTGCACTATTAGTAGATTATAAATCTCATGATCACAACATAATTAATATTTTAAAAATTTAAACTATTTCTAGACAACAGCAAAACAATTACAAACATTTTATTTTGTAACACTATAACGCTCTGGTCCCTAGATCCTGTCCACTCTTGCGCACCATAGTATTGCCATACTATAAAAATATCTTCAATACAAATACGACTCTTCAAACATTGCAATTATAAACTTGGATTAATAGCTATTATAAAAAAAAATATAAACGTAAAAATCAAAATATAAAATAACAATAATACCTAATTCCATTAATCCAAATTTATGATTTGACGCTGTTAAATATTGTGATTAAAAAAAAATGATTGTTGTAAACTATTGTAGGTTTTAGTCATAAGGTCGGTATCATTACATTTTCTCGATATTCTAAAGCCGATTATAATATAATGAAAAAACTTAATTTTTATGTATTTTATACAAAAAACGAAGCAATAACATTGAAATTCGTTTTCTAATCAACAAATAAATTCAACAACGAGTATTTTTTAACATATAAAACACATTTAAGATATATAAAATATGAAACGTAACATAATATGCCAATTATATTGCCAATCTCGTTGATTTTAGATCTTAGGACCTTATGACTTAAAAAATATGCCATATATAAAATAAATAACTTTAAAAAATTAATATACCTACATAAGAGCCATTACTAATAAAGACTATTTTAGTGCTTAACTGGTTTACTTTTGACTTAGATTACTGGGAAAATATACACTGACTGCTACGCAAAAATGACCTTTGCTGCTTAGTAAATAAAGTCACTTTCAAGTGACTTTTAAGTAAGTCGACAAAAAAATTTCGAGGTCATTATATGACGAAATAAACCTAAAAATATCTAAAGAATCAATCAGAGGGTGCACGAGTTTGTTTTATATTTAATGAGATTGACACGTTGATGACGTACGGCGCTCTGATTGGCCGGGCCCAATGAACCAACCAATTAGTGTGTCGAACGCGGTCTCGTTTCAATCTTCTTAAACGTAAAACAAAGCCAGGCTATGTCTTCTTATAATAAAACGACAAATTCACTTAATTTAAGTAGTATTTTTGGTTAAAACTTTTTTGAGTCCAAGGTTCAATGTCACTAGAATAAAATAATATATAAAAAAACTTTAAAGTTCCTTAGACCTACTAACACTCTTAATTTGTAATGGCTCCAAGACACTACAAACAATATAATATAAAACATATTCCTTACATAATTATGTATAAAATAACAATTATATATTGCAGTGGGTAAAAAAATATACATAAATATTTTAGGGTTAGCTGCGATCAACAAAGTGGCGACGAAGAACAGAATCCAGTAACAGTTTAAATTCAACCTTAAAATGTTTTGGAATACGACTAGAATTAGAATTTAAGTTCCAAGATCCGAAAAGAAAACGTGTAAATTGTCTTCTTTTCATTTTATCACGCAAACGAGCAGACAGGTCACCTGATGGTAAGCAATCGCGCCGCCCGTAGACACCCAAAACACCGGAGGAGTTCCTAGTATGTTACTGGGTTCTCGATACTAAGTTGCTCAACGGTGCCACTTCGCCCCTCAGCGCTAACCCTTGATGAAATATGAGTGACAATGATAACCATATAACATATACAGCAGTACAACAAAACAATGATTTAATCCGAAAATAACCGCATACTCACGTGAACTATTAGAGAAAGGCTCTACTAATTTCAAGCCATCACAGGACTCTTATTTATAAGTAGAGCGCTTCTCGTTTCTAAGTATGCCGTTATCAACAATTAATTTAGTACGCCTCACGATAATTATTACACAAAAATAAAGATTTTATCGATAACATATAACACGAAGACGCCATCCCTAGCTGCCGCACCACATAAGCGTATCGATACTGTAACTGCACACTGTACTTACAATTCAACATATTTATATATTTAAATAGATAAGAAAGCATTTGTATTAAGTTATAACTCATTTCTTCTACGACAGGTTTCAGAAATCTTCATACAGTATTTGCTTACTAGAGATAGAATTTTCAACCTTATGTCAAGATATGAAGAATCTATCTTTAATAAGCAAATCAACTGACAAATCAATTATAGGAACCCGTCGTTAGTTTTGAACAAGGACCAAGGCGTAAGAAAACAATCGATAAAACACTGGAACGGTCAAACATTTACCGTCGAACTCATGCCGAAATACTGAAACATTATTCAATTTAAATCGCGCTTAAGTACATATAGTGCCGTCGCTACAAATTCTTTGTAAAATGACAAAGACGGCACGATATTTAAGCACAACTTAAAATTGAGTTCCATTTCAGTATCAGAGACGTTAAATGATTACTTAAAACTATTCCTTAGTAAAGATTTTGTCCCGAAAACAATTAAGGACTGGGTTAAGTAACTATTCAATGTCTCCGAGTAAGGCAGTTAGATTACAAAGTAAAGTTAATCAATTTAGTAGAGACAACAGTTATTCAACTGTAAGTACAGATTCATTAAATAATACTATTATGATAATGGCATAGACAACAGTCTTCAGAATTCAACAGTAATGTACTAAGCTATTTTAATTCTGCGCCTGCATATCGATTTTTGATTCGATAATCGATATCGATTTCAATCGTGTTTCACCTCTTTAGTAGTAGTCCCTGTTAAGATAAATACTATAGAAATGATTAAATATAATCTTGTCTAACTATCAAATATCAAAGTTCGGTAGAAAGTATAGGATATAACATTTCTTTGACTATAATTATATTATCAACACACCATTAGATGATGCTTCCTGTACTGTAACCTGTTTTCATCGATCTGTTAGCTTCGAAACAACAGACACACAGAGAGTTATTGATAAAAATATCGATAATGAATCAATAATCGATATCGAAAGCGCAAAAATAGTAGGACAGAAAGCGCACAACACTGTGCGACACAGTAGGCTAGACAAGCATGTACAAATCTGATATGACACTGTAAATTCGTACAGTTTCACGGAACTTTCTGATAGGCTCAATATTTTAACAGTAACGGTCAAAATATAACCATTATACATATTATATAGAACCATAAGTATATAATATATACAATACAACAAGCAATATAATACAGAACACTGTAAAAAAACAATAGTGGTATAGAAAAATGCCATTGATTTGGACAGTAACACACGTTCTTGTAAATCAACAACTTATTACTAAGTAATATAGTTAAAAATCGATTAAAAAAATGCTGCCTTGACGTGCTCAAATCAAGATTTTTTCACTCCCAAGATAAAGGTTATTGTGATGTCAAGAATACATATTTTATCATAGGATTGTAACATGTTATATTTTCACCGATACTGCGCTATTTTGTGACTAAACGATTGCTATATTATAATAGTTAGTTTCACCTAAAACGTAAAAACACTTTACACGTCTAGAACTAACGTTAACAAAGACGTTATTGTTACGAAGCTACCCTCACTCGACATTTGTGACCATTATCTTACATTACCCTCATTTACTTCACTTAATGCACACTAAGATAACTATGCTGTATAAAATTATATATATATATATATATATTGTATAATATAATTATGATTTTCAATAAAAATCTATCAATTGTATAGAACTCCGCGGTATTTGTAGTAAATATTTCCAAGGCATTATCAGGTAATTTTTCCACTAGTTTATCGATTATTTATTGCACAAAACCAAGTCTCAGTGTACATCAAGCATTCACGAAACAACTAACAAAAAAAACATCTGCGCATGACTTCTAACGTAACTAAAATAGTAAGTTGTATATAATATATAAAGAAAATGATCATATTTAATATGACAAAATGTAACACATTTCAACTTATCGATAATATCTAGACAACAGGGCTCAATAAAAGCTAAAGAAAATGGCATTTTGTAATCACTTATCAATTTAAACTAGAAAAATATTTCTTTTACCATACTAGGCTGATCTAACTGATTTCTCTTATAGTCCTCATCTCAAGTGATTGCGATGCTTAACACAGGCACAATATTCAAAGTCAACTATTGATATATGTATTCTATATAGTAAAATCTATTGTAATATAATATGCATTTATATTACATATAATTATCTATGTGTAAATCTTTCAGTGAACACTATTTCGCGATACGCTGTACAAGCATTATGCCACAGCGCAAAATGCCATAAACAAAAATAACGTAGGTATATCAACAAATATATAAATAAATGTATATATACCAGCCACACACTAACCGGTCACTCGCTGCATTATAGTAGTACTAGTGAGATTATAGTAGGCTCCCACGGGGTCAAGTAGCGTTAAACAACTATACATCAAAAACATTGATAAATTTGTTTAGACTCGAGTGTCTTTTACAGCAGATTTTTTAATTTGATATGAGTTTAATAAAAAAGTTCAGTCGATCGTTAAAAAATTGTTAGGAAGCATCTAAACAAATTCATCAAACGTAAAAATTACATACACTACAACATCGTCGTGTGCTATGCACATCGTCAAACACTATACATCTAGACACGAACACTACTTGCTAGTCGTCGGGGTTATTCACAGAGATCATTTCTTCTTGACGGTCGAGCTACTGGCACAACTACTCGACCGGGTTTGGACGCCATCCTTCTTCAGCAAACTGACTCCGAACGCGGGACATTTCTTTCGCAACGCCTTGATTTTATACAATTTGTTTCCCTGGGAGTTGTTTGTCTCCTCGTAGTTGTCGGGAGTGACGTCCGCCGTGATCACAGAGTTAGAGATACAATCCATTGGCTCCGGACTACTGGACTTGTCCCGTTTCCGCCTGAACCTGAACGGAGTTTCGAGGGAATCCGCGGATATATTAGTGACATTCGTGTCACTGGAAGACAGATCTTGTGTAGATTCGAGACCAGTTTTAGGCAAATTATTCTTAGGGAGCTTTTTACGGGAGCTGGAGTTAGATCTAACTATTAGTTTCTTGCGCGCGTTTATATTTGAATTTGTAGGTTTAGTTTGCACTACAGATTTGAGATTTGGCTCAGATGGGAGACGATTTTTGCCATTTAAATGGCAGTTTTCTGTAAGTGCAGATAAAGTTGAAGTTACGTTGTTGAGTGTTGTGACGACTGCGCTGTCGTTGGTGGGGATTTTGCTGACGCTGACGGTCTTTCTAGTGAAGGTTTTAAGGGGACTTGATCCGTGAGTGTAGCCTAGAGCGGGGCGCGCGAGGTTGGCTCGTTGGCCGTGGAAGCTACTCTTACCGGTGAAAGGTTTGACGGGACCCGTCAGTTTGTTGGCTTGAGAATTGGCACTTCTAGTTGGGGGAAATGTCGAAGTCTTTGATGCGTAATGAGATTTGAGAGTGGAGTTGATGATCCGAGGAGGTTGCTTCAAGTTGGTGTTGTTGGCGTTCCGTATGTTGTTGGTGGGCATCATGTAGTTCATTTTGGGCGCGAACACTGTCTTCGTTGGGAGCATTGGAGTGGGGGTGGTCTTGTACTTGCCGATGACAGTTGTTACGTTGTTCTCGGAGTCAGGCTCGTTGGCGTTCAGAGCGTTGGCGTTGTCCAACTGAAAGAGGAATTAGTTTTTAAAGTTTCAAGCTCGACTCAAGTAAGACTAGGACCCATATTCATGAGTTTTCGACACTTTAGGAACAAAAAACTTATACTATTATATAAAGCGGAAGAGTTTGTTTTTTTGTTTGTTTGTTTGAACGCGCTAATCTCCGTAACTAAAGTCTGATTTGAATAATTATTTTTGTGTTGGATAAAACATCACGCTACGACCAAGGAGCTGCAGAGCGTGTGAAACCGCGCGAAAGTAGCTTGTAATTTATATATCAAAAGTACCTTATTATTGGTGATCTTGCTAGTATGAAGTATAGTTTGCAAGGACACAGGTTTGTTGTCCACAGCTGGTTGGACCTTCTCCTCCACTTCTGGTATCTCGCTGTAGATCCCTCTCTCGAAGACTGGAAGCGAGGTGATGTTGTGACGACGCCGGTACGACTCTCCTTCCGCGTGCATTCGAGGTTGGACACTGAAAATATAAAGATTATGACATTAATATAGACACAGTATCATTCCTTTTAATCTTTACAAGAATAGGCAAAAGTGTCCATATAGTCCAGGATTTGTTTTAAGGGGGGAAAATTATCGAATGACTTCTCCCGCCTGGGTGAGGCGGAAGGGAGTGTCAGACTCTTACTGACTAAAAACCACCCCGTTCCTTCTCCTGCACTTCGAGCCGGAGCCCCGGTAACCCGTTAGGTTCTCCGCGACTCCGACTCCTCTTTACATAATAACATTTCCAAAAGGGTGACATTAATGTCTTTACAACACGCAAGCGAAGTCATAAGTAAAACTAGGTTTTTTTAAATAAAGTAACTGGTACTCACTTTTCCAAGAACCACTGCTGATGTCCAATGACAGAGCCGGGGCGGCAGATGCGTAGCCACGCGATCGACTCCCGCGCAGTGAACGCATGGTGCTTCATCAGGTAACAAGCTATTAAGGTACCTGTGCGACCTAGGCCCGCTGGAAGAGATATGAAATATTTATTTAGAGTTATTTTTTTTTATTTTCTAGTTAGAAGTTCAGTGGTGTAATGACAGGAGAATAGAATCCATTTGTCACCACCCCTGCTCTTCTCCTGGGTGTCGTAAAATTTGATTAAGAGACTGAACACTTGTCAAAGATGTCCCAGCAGCGTTTTCTGATAAGCTTGAAATTTTAGGGTGCGTCCACATCTGGCGAATGTGCCGCGAATCCGCATGCCTTTAAAATTATTATTTATACGAGCCTTGCATGAGTTGAGCACCAAACCATTGCCACTACAAGCTCGCAGGCGGCTGGCGAGCTGTGCATTCACGGAACATTCTACATGTGGACGCACCCTTAACAGGTTCACTGTCCAGGCTCCAGAGTGGGAATGGTCCATAAGTCCAGTTAGTTAGTTAGTAAAAGTTGGTATGTTTGTGGTTAATATATGTACATAAGTGTTTTAAAATATACATGGACTTTTATTATCGTTTTCATATACACAGACTACATATGGTCTGTGGACTCGTAGTACTTCCTGCAGCTGTAGCCAAATGCCATTTAGCGCTTGTCTACATGTAGAATAGAAAACCAAATTATATGGAATTGACGTAAATTTTGACACTTGTTAGTCTCATCCCCATACATTTAGTTTTCTATTCTCTCTGTAGACAAGCGCTAAAGTGGCATTTGGCTAAAGGCCCAGGACGGTAGAAATCACCTCGTGAGTCCACAGACCATATGTGGTATGTGTACCGGCAAACAGACCACATACGGTCTGTGGACTTGTATGGAAGTTGCTCTACAGACCGTATGTGGTCTGTGGACAGTGAACCTGTTAAGTTGCGGTCTCCAACCGTACCCACAGTGGAGATTATAACAAACTTTTCTTATTTAGAGAAGACCCATAGTCCCATAGTGAATTGTCATGACTTGGTGCATGTGATGCGATTTATTTCAGCATTCCTAAGCCACGCATTTTGCCAAAGTTGTTGAAATTTTATAACAACTTCAAGATCTTGAAGTCTTTAGATTAGACATAACTGATTGACAGCATGGTACGATACTATGTTTTTTATATATAACATTAAACATTTCAGTGACATTTTACCTTTACAGTGCACAGCAACAGCTCCTTTGGCGGCTTCAGTGATCCTTATAAACCGATTCACAATAAGGTCTGAAGGTACGGAGCCATCAACGAAGAACAGTTCTCTATGTTCAAACCCATGAGCGGTGAACTGCCGAGCATCATAGGACTTCTTGTTAAGCCGTACTATGGTGGTTACATGGTGTTTCCTGAAGTAATCGTGGTAGTGTTCAGGGCTATGGAGCGGGTAGCCACGGTCCAGCCGCGACCGATGGTGGGGACCAGAGAAAGCCAGCATTTTGCCTGGTATAATCCAGTTCAGGTCGCCATTTTCGACTTTCTGTAATGTTTGAAAAGGATAATGTATTAATTTGAACTTATTACTATGTAAGAGCTACAAAGCAAATGGTTTTGGACTCGATTCAAAGATTGGGTATTGTTTTTAAGATATATTATTTTATTCTATTGTTGTCACCAATGTCGAAAAGATATGTAACATTTAATAAGTGCACCTGTATCGATACTATTAAAAATTCTACTAATTCTTTGCTTGATTCGGACTTGAAACCTGTGACCTCCAGTTCATACTTTAGCATCCAATAAACTAACGAATCTCAATCAAAATTTAACCATGTCTCACCCAAGTAAGTACAATACAACAGAAGGTAATTTTTGCAAAGTAATAAATAGCATTTTTATTAGTTGTGTAGGACGTCCGAATTGTGTCGCGGATATAAAGCCCACTCATTGCGGCAAAGGTCGACGACATTCTCAACTGTTCAATAATTTAGCTCAAAGTACAAAATGTTACGGAAAAAATGTAAACTATACTGATTTTTGGTCTAAGTTGGGTTGAAAGTTCTTCCGTTATTTTTTTTTAAATTTTACAACAGAATTAATAGTTTATCGTTAGCTAAAAAATAGGTAAGAGGTACATTTGGAAGTTAAACAGTTGCATGCTTCATTGATAGTGGTCACCGCCGCGACTGAAACGCTCACAATCGAAATATGGATCCCAGGTAAGAATCCGGAATGAGATGAATGTTTGATACGTTTTCAAAACGTACTGTTCATCTGGCACTAAGACTAGAACATACCAATAAACTCTACCTCAATCTCTCCTTATGGGAAACCAAAATTTTACTGGCCAAAAATGAATTCATCTGAAGTATTAAGTACTTCTGTGTGCACCTCTGCTTACCCCTTCGAGGATAAAAGGCGTGATGTTATGTATGTTATTAGGTACCTAAGTAGTAGCCACATATTCAACAAGGGATAATTTATTCTATACTGAACTTACCTCATAAAATAAATACTGTTCGGCATCGAAATTGTCGAAATCGAAGAACCGAGCATCATGGGCCACCTTGATGCCGTGCAGCACATCGAGGAGTGAGATGTCGAACAGTGGTGGACCTCCTGACGCGTCACGGAAGTTCAGGAGGGACCACTCTGATCCGTCTGTCAGCTGCTTGTACACCGCCGCAGGGCTAGAGTCCAGGTATATTATCTGAGGAGTTCAGAGTAGTTGAGTATCAATTTAGCGGAAGATGATCCAACTGTGTTTAATAGGGTCGAAATAGAAAAAAAAAACTAAATAAATTCCATAATAGGGTTTTTTTTAAGGGGGGAAAATCATCGAATGACTTCTGACTTAAAACCACCCCGTTTCTACTCCTGCACTTCGATCCGGAGTCCTGATAACCCGTTAAGTTCACCGCGGCGCCATAATAGGGTTATGATCAAGTTGTGCTTTAAGTATTTTAAGAAGTAAGGACAAAAATTCCTGTTTACCAAGGTGACCATTAGTTATCAAATCATAAATCATTCCTTAAAATTCAGCTTCACATTAAGATCTCATTACACTAACTTCCGTAAAATTACTTTCATCAAAAAATCGTTTTAAATATTAAAGTATATTTCAGTGCTCGTCATCCGAAAATATTCGCTTAGGGAAATGCCAGGACGAAACGGAGACGTCAAATCATACGCCACATTAAATTTCGATACGATTCGTGGAAAATGCTATACCATCCGTCTAGCTGTATCAGGAAGACTTAGAAATTCAAGGTTGTAGCTTGCATCACTAGACAATATGGATATACATGTGTACCTGTTGTTTTAAGACCTAATTATAACGGTCGACTGCCCTTTACAAGTAGTTTGTTCTGCGAAAATCATCCTTATTGGTGTCAAGTTAAGGTGCTGTTAAAGTATATTAATAGAGATATCATATCATTGAAGCCGAAATTAAATTATTTCGGTAGAATGTTTGAATAAAGTTTTAACAGACTTACTAGTGATTATATTTTTAAATTGCAAATTGAATTCTTTCAAATTTAGACAAATTTGGCCTTACAAACAGACAAACTAAAATGTGCCATTGCTGAAATGTAACCATCCATATCTATCGGTCTATAAATTGTCCCACTGCCAAGCAAATTAATAAATCCTTATAGTACGCTCGACCCTTATAGGATTACAAATGTAACGGATATATTACATACAGGTAACTTTAATACGACACCTACACGGAGTACCATTTAATCAGTTAAAAATATACGTGTACCTACGTGATTGTTAGTGGAAATAGAAGCTGGTCAATTAGGGTGTAACTGGACCATGTCCCACGCACTCCCTATTATTCAATGAAACTCGACTAAGACTTGTGGAAATCGGCACCGGGATGCGCCTTAAGGTCGTTCTCACAGGTCAATCCAGGATTACTAAAGGTTTTGTTAGGGACATTAATCAAATCATAATTCATATTTAATGTAGTTGCAATAAGAACTAGTTTAGATCTCAAGTTTTCATTTAAGAAAACGCTATTAAAAGTGCCATTACGACTCTGTATTATGAAAAGCATAGTTATCAGTTCAGCAGCTGTAGCCAAATGCCACTTAGCGCTTGTCTACATGTAGAATAGAAAACCAAATTATATGGAATTGATGTAAATTTTGACACACGTGTCAGTGTCATCCCCATACATTTTAATTTATACTCTTTCTGTAGACAAGCGCTAAAGTGGTGTTTGGCTAAAGGCCCTGGATAGGTTTTTATCACTATAATGAGAAAACTGACAGTGGTTCCAACCAAAGACTAAAAACCACGCCGTTCGCAGACTCGGTGACATAAAGGTAAATTTTTATCCATCAGTTAGTTCTATATTTTAGTCCTAACATGATCAAAAGCTTAGCACTATTTACGATCCCTATTTCGTATGTTAGATAGCACAACAAATATAGCCCTAACCACCTGACGCTTCCATACATTAGTGCCACATGAATACCTGACTATTCATACATGATCGGTCACATATACCTACATAAACTTTATGAAGGTTGGAGGGTTGTATCCGTTTGTCAGAACACGACATGGGACCCGTAAATATGATTGACAGTCTCGTTAAGCCGCGAAGGGTTGACTGATATGTTTTATGACTTGTAGACTAATCCTTCATGATGTATTTTTGATTTGATTTACGATGCTGGCTTTGAATTAAGTGTATTTTTAGATGTGTGGAATTTTAGTTCGAGTGCGTTTTTATGTTCTTTTCTATTTTACATGTCTAGTTTAGTAAGAACCTCAAAAGTCTCAAAGTACCACATTTTTTTAGAAATATCATTGAAGTCATTATATCATACAGGGTGGCCGGGCAGTTTACGTTCAAGCGTAAAACTTAGATACTTTATGATGAGGAGTATCCAAATCACCACCATGTACTTAAGTTTACGATTATGCGTAATTTCGAGTTATAAAGTTTTTAATGACTTCTTTCGTGAAAATATAAGAGAGTAAAATTCGGAAATATGAGAGAGTAAGTATTACCTGATAGCTCCCAATAAGGTAAGCAGCGTTGAGTCGAAGGGTCTCATTGTTGCTGGTATAGAAGACGATTTTTTTCTTCGGATTCTTCTCCAATTCCTCATTAAGCTTGTTGCAAAATTGATACAGATGACAGAGGTGGTAAGGTCCAAAGTCGAAATAAAAGTTTTCGTAGACAATCTCATCTTCGATGTGAAAATACTTGCTGTTCCTAGTTGATTTCGGTTTATAACCATTCTTCAGAGTCGCGAAATACAGTCTATCTGAAAGAAAAACCTCTTGTTAAAAAGTTGGTAATGTAAAATGTATTTTATGCTGTTTACTTTTAAGTTGAACATAGCATGTTGGGAAATCGTTAGCATAGACAAGTATTAGTTTAGTCTACAATAATAACTTTTCCATTCCGGCTCTTTTTTTGATATGCTGTAATGGAAACTTCGTTCTAGTCCTCCCATTTTCATTTTGGATTCATTTCACTGTGGTTAAATAAATGACAGTTCAGTTTTCCCTTTCTTCCAAATTGCTTCTCTTGCCTTGGGTTAGGCGAGGAGTGTCAGACTCTTACTGTATAAAAACCACCCCGTTCCTACTCCTATTCTTCGAACCGGAGCCCCAGCAACCCGTAAAGCCGATATGGAGCTGCGGAACAGCTCCGTATCGGCATCTTCCCTACCGGGCCTCATATGTAGTTTAGTTTTCCCTGGATTTACTATTAGAAGTAAATATTACTGTCGACTTTTTATACAGCAAATGATTTTCATGTAAACATTGATACTGCTTCTATAGATGACAAAATGGAGAAAGAAGAACATAAATACGCGTATACAACACCATAAAGTTTATTTTCCACTTCAATAGAAACACGGGATTCTATACAGAAACATTAAATAAATGGTAAACAGACAGATCCAATAATCTTGCCGGCTAGACATATATTTCACTTTGACATAGCTAAAGAAGTTTTATCGGAGAAGTGGAAGACGTTATATCGAATTTATTATGCAGTTTTTGTCTACAACTTATAAATACTGGTTGCGTGATTGGAAACCTAATTTTATGTTGTTAACATTGTTGCTATAGTTCAATGGAATCAATAATGGTGGATCGATAGCTGAAATGAAGTCTAGAAATTTCAATAATGCCTTAGATTTTGTAAGATAGGGTTTTAGAAGATTTGGCATAACTGGTGCACTCAAATCGCATAACAAGTATAAGTCACGCTTTAAAAATGGTGATAGAAATAGGCTCAGGTCGAACGTGTTACAAAACACTAATTTTTCCGGTATTTTTTTGGTATATCATCATGATGATGGTAAGCAATCGACACTGGATACTCGCAACCCCACAGGAATTATAAGATTTTGGGGGTTAGGAATTTGAGAGTAGGGAACGGTACAGAACTTTTCCACTTAAAGCAGAATTCCGCTTATCTAATTACTTCGGAAAATAAACAGATATATTTTAAGTGTACATAAAACAGAATAGACTAAAAATTTACCGCCACTAAAATGAGACACAAATTGAAGAAGTTTATTTATAACAAACTATTACAAGAAACGATCGTTAAAACTAACAACAAAGTTGCTGAAGTCGATGTCTTTGTAAGCAAAGAAGACAATCAGTCACAAAGTAATTTAGTAACATTTTCTAAGCTTCGAGTTCTTTTGACAACTAGTGATATTTTGGAAGCTTTGAGAATAGCAAACAGTATAAAAAGGTGCAAATTAACCAGACTGTTTGAGCAAATCCAAGCAAGAAAACAAGAGGATAATCAGACTTAAATAAAAAAAGGGAAAGGAAACACAAAACACATAAACACACTCTTCAATGAACAACACGACACAGAAGCAAGGAGACCACAGATCTTCAGTACTTTTATAGAAAAGAAAGCACAACGTGGTGTAGATTCTTCTAAACCACAACACTTAGCAGACGATCATCAACTAGCTGTACCAACCCTATCTACGTACATAGGCTGCTAACCACGACAAACCTTACATAATCATCATCCGTATAACTCCTTAAATGTCAAGGGATTCAAAGAGCAAGCAAACACGTTAATCTAGTTGATACAAGTTTCTAATAGACCCAACTACAGTAACAGAGTATTCAGTAGTTTGTGCATACATTAGTAAAGTTATGTCTGTTGGTCCGTTGAGATGTTTCACGGATGCGGAGGTTAGTTATAACAGTTGATTAAGTCGTAGTTATACCAGAATATGTTCTGGCATTCTCTAAATTTTCGATTACATAACTGCGATCCCCTAGTTGTCTTTGAAGTGAAGATTTAAGCAAACCGATAGGTTAGGATTAGGTATCCCTAATTAAGATGTCGCGGAGAACCTAACGGGTAACCGGGGCTCCGGCTCGACGTGCAGGAGAAGGAACGGGGTGGTTTTTAGTCAGTAAGAGTCTGACACTCCCTCCCGCCTCACCCAGGCGGGAGCAGTCATTCGATGATTTTCCCCTCTTAAAAAAAAATCCCTAATTAGGAAGACGCCTTTATTTAGGAGTACAAATCTTCCAACTGATGATGATGAGTTTACTGTCGAGATTGTGAGAATATTATTTGGGTTAGTAAATGTCTAATACAAAATTTATTGTACAAAGAAGTTGTTAATATAACCTTGAAAGTTCAATTATCAGCAAAATGCGTCTCAAAAGAAATTGTGTTAATAAAACGTTTGCTTTTGAAGAGAGAACTCTAATATACATAACTACATATTTATTTCATTCCAAATAACATAAACATGACATAAATGAAATATTTATCTCTAATTGAAGTGACATTTATCGTAAATCGGTTTCTTGGCATTATACCAATGAAACAAACTAAATCTTGTTAAACTGATTCAATAAGATTTGATTATTTATTTTACACTGATTTAATGCTATGTTCTAGAATAGGTTATGGCTGCATATAAACGAGAAGATTTTCATTAGTATTGTTTCAAAGGACAGACTGTATTACTATCTTGGAATTTCTTAACAGAAAAACTTAACAGCACTTTTTGTGAGCGTCGGAAAACGGCCAATACAAGACCTTAATATCCGCAGTTGCGTAGCCAGTGACAAAAAGCGAATAACGCAAAAGACCCGAAAAAAGGGACCAAAATGAAATATTTTTTAAATAAAAAGATTAGTTATTTAAATATTAAAAGTAGACGAGGGTATCGCTCTAAAACAATTTGAAGTGTCATCTAGATAAAACAGACTAGGGTCACTGGGAGTCACCCTTGACCTTCTAGGGGACCTTCAGATCGTGACGCAAAACAAAAAGGGAACCCAATAATACGCGCAAACTTTGGCAATTAGGTTTATAACAATTTCAGTTCGTCCTAAATTTAGTTATAGAACTGACTGGAATTCCAGGCAAACAGATTGTTCGTTGTTGAGGATTAAAACGGGACAGATTATAACAAGCGCATGGTCTGATTTAATTTTAACTAGGATTTGCTGAATATTAATAGAAGTTATTTGCGATTAAATTCTTAGTAGTGGATTGATTGTTTTAATTTGAGTGTAGGTTATAATAGTCTAACAATAAGTATTTTAGGAAATTTGATTGGTAATTCATAGGGATTCATCATTATCGTCAGCTGTACCACTACTGGACAATGGAAGAAGTCACCTTACATGACGAAGGAATTACCTTGTCTTTTCAGGTAGAGATGGCCATAGAATTTGACACCAATCGAAAAATCTAATAACCATACAACTTGGTAACTCATTCCCAGTAGTAACAAAATCAGTAACAAAACTAGATACAGAAGGGAATAGGTAGTATTTATAACAAAGCTATAAAGTACTTCATCGTGTTTAGAACTTTCAATAAAGTCGACATAAAACGAGCGACGAGACTGCCAATTTTCCAGTTATAAAGGATTATGAGGTCGACGAAGGAAAACCTTTTCAAACGGGAGGAAGTTTGATTAAACAAATAAATCTAGCAAAACGATCTCGAGTCACTTATGCGGGCATTGAAGCAGTCGTAAAGCTTTTGTCGGTTTCCCTAAGTAAAATGGAACTTGGTCCCTAAAAGCACCTAAACTAGGCTATGAGTTTTTGTCGCATGGTAGATCTTTTGGTAATGATATCTCTAAAGAGGATAGACGTTTGCTTAGCTGGATTAATTTCCTTCTCAGAGTAGATAACGATTTTGACGATAGGTACTCTGGAAATTAAAAATCACCAAGGACTCCTGGAGATATCATAGCAGACCTTAATAGCACAGAGTATGAAATAAACTCAAAACCTTGTTTACCACAAAGCATCAAAATAAAAGGTGAACAGCACGACTACTAAACCAACGTAAATAAATACGTTTTTATGGAGTAGGCCCCTGAGGGATAACAGCCTTTTTACCTTCACGATATAAAAAATTAACCAAGGCACCTTAGGTTTGCAGTTTACACATAAAAACGCTAGGTCTATTTCTGCATTGGTATAACACGGTACATATACCTACTGATAGCCACGTCAAGGGGACGTAATTGCCCCCAGCACTTATCGTGTAGGTCTCGGAGTCCCAGTCATAAGACACGAGAACTATTATTCTATTAGATCTTCCCTGCAGTTGCAATCATGTAATGCGGTCCCAGTTCGTAGATAAAACTTCAGAAAGTAAGAATTTATTTATTAGGAATATAAATATCTATCGGTCTGAGTGTTATAATTGTAGCAGTGGCTTTATGCGCCGTGCCGACCCTTAATAAATTAAACTGCCTAACTATTTTGCTACCTTGATCACTCAGAAATATAATTTAAGACTAAGGAAATGATCATTTGTTTTACAATAGACCGCCAAAATTTGGTACTTGGGTTTTCATTACCGGAACTAAGTAGGCTCATCTTTTTTTGTATATAGCTGAAGACATATGAAAAATAGGTGTTCTTTAGAGTACTCGAGCGTTTTATTATTTGTGGTAAATAATGCACCTACCTACGTTCTACCGAATGTTTAGTGACCATCTGTTGCTGACCATCCGTAAGGTCACAAACTATTTTGATGTCATCAACAATCAATTTGTATGAAAATTGTTCCGTGTCCAAGGTTACGTTACGCCGACATTGTCCAGTCCTTGTCACATGGTATATGATACTATTTTGTGTAGGTAGTGTCAATAATGAGTTGTAGGTCGTCGACGTATAGACGTCAAAGTAGTAGTAGCACTAGTAGTCAATGGTCCCTTAGAATTATTTCCAATTTTGAATGAAAAGTTACGCATATTTTTAGAAAAATAACTTGAACACTTTTAGACAT